CTCATCCCTTTGCTGCTTTCCTGGCCCGTCCCGGCCGCGCCCCTGCGCGGGTGACAGTTCTGCGGGTGACACTTCCGCGGGTGACAGTTCCGCGGCCGCGCTGGGTCTCCGCCGGTACCAGGAGCGGGGGCTGCGGCGCTCCCTTCCCCGTCCCTCCCCGCGGGTCTGCGGCAAAATCCGACCAATGCGGGGCCACGCTCGGCGCTCCCGCCCCGGCGCAGCTCTCCGCCCTCTCATCCCGGCGTGCGCTTATGCTTTGGACGCTTTCAGTGTTGCTTTTTAATTTTTTTGTTATTAATATTCACCTTCATGGAGACCTTTCTCGGGTATATTTATATAATCTCAGCCTTGCCCTCCTCAACCCACAGCTTTTTTCTGTTACTAAGTGCTTCTACTCAGTTACTGCTACTAAGTTAAATAACAGAGTAAAGTAAGTTCGTCATTAAGTCCTGCTTGAAAGGGGAGGGGGAGGAAACCCTCAAGCCGCATGGTAAGAACAGGGAGAGGATTTGTTTGTTTGGGTTTTTTTCTCTCTCTCTTTTTTTTTTTTTTTTTTTTTTTTTAAGCAACGTAGAACTTCCTTCCTCGGGATTTAAACGTGAAAAGTTCTGTGGTTTTGGCTTGTTTTTTTCTTTGGGGTTTGGTTGGTTGGTTTGTTTTTTTTCCCTCGCAACACATACACACACACACACATGAAAACACGTAAATATTTATCTGTCATACCGTTTACCCATCAAGCATATTTTTGGCCATTTCCAGGATAGCTGAGAGCCTAAAGAATTCTTCTAAGAGGACAGACAGTTAAGGAGGGCACCACAGGTTACAATAGCTTTTTCTGGGAATGCTTCCTACTGGGGAATTATGAGACTCTGTCCATAATGGAAATGAAAGCCTACTACAGTTCTCTATTACACTAGTATTTGAGTTATCCCTTGCTAAACACGTGCCATTTAAAATAGGAATGTGACTCATATTTTTAGCTGTCAACACTAAAATACAGATAATTGTTGTACCATTATGAATTTTCCTGGATTAAGGTAGACTGCTCAAACTAATAAACTTTATTTCCTGACACAGAAACTATTACTAGTTTATACTGAGATTAAACAAAATTTTAAATTAAAAAAAAATGTTTGCGGCATTTTCCCTTTCATCTTTTTAATGGCACAATTTTCCACAAATTTTATTGATTTTTTAATCTAAAGATAATTTATCTTTTTATTTAATAGAGCAATATTGAAATAATCATAAAGTCTTCAAACGGTGTGAAAATGAGAATTTTCTAAAGAACTTTTTAAGGACTTTGTTTTGATGTGATTTCTGTTTTAATTTGCATTTAGTCTTCATATTCTGCAAACTCAAAGCATTATGAAATATAAGCATTATAAAACATTTTCACTGACATAATTTTGTATAAGAAAAAAGAGAAGTGTTTCAGTAAAAACAACCCCATCTCCCTGTATCCTTCTTTTTTATTAAACATAATGCCTCACACATTTCAGGGTAAGAAATTTATCTAGTTCTTTCCCTTTACCTTCTCTCCCTTATCCCCTCAAAAGTGTAGTAGATACATGTGCAAAAAGGAATTCACTATCTTTTTACAAGATAGATAGATTTGTCTAAATTCCTTTTTTCTGAACACATAAACATAAGACAATAGGTTTGGTTTCAGTTAATTTTGCTAGGGTTTGTTTTGTTTGTTTGCTTGTTTGCTTGCAAGCTGTTGTTATCTTTTAGCTCTTTTTCCATTTCCCTCTTCACCAAATAACTTTGTTCAAAATTCTTCAGCCTTCTTTTACGAAACTGTGTAAATCTACTGATAGGATCTATTTTATAACTTAGGCAACTGCCTATTTTGGAACTGTGACTACAGCATTTAGGGATGTGTCATGGTGCATTTGATTTTTATTTTTCCTTAACATGAGGCCCTCTGGTGTTCTGCTTAGTCACATTCTTATAAACTCAATTAGTTAATCTTCTATTTGATTCCTACATCCAATCTAGAGTCTTCTACAACAGTGATTGATCCATTAACATGTGTGTGTCATCCTCCAGTCAGATAAGACTCTTACACTGATGGGTCAGTGCTGTGCTTGTAATAATATACAGATCGAAAATCCAGGTGCAGACAGAAAGGAAATGTCATAAATGTATCAAATATTCATGGTATGGGGAAGGCATGCATATGAAGGAGATCTTCAGAAATATGTTGTCTTGGGGAAGGGTAGGAAGTAGAAAGTAGGGATAAAAAGTGTGAAAGACAGAAATGAAATTGAAGCCATATGATGTCAATACACGAAAACTTGAAAAAGCACCATGGGTGGCCTACATGAGAAAAGTGTGGAGGGAGCAGTGTTGGGGCAGTGCTGTGCTCCTCTTGGCAAGCTCTTTGTAGCCCCAATGTCCCTGCAAGTCTAGGTTTATGACTCTGAAACCTTACCCTAACCCTAACCCTAAAGGTAGTCGTGGGCTAAGGTTGAGGTGCCCAGCACCATGGATGGCCTAGATGGGAAAGATGTGGAAGGGGCTGTGTTGAGGCAGTGCCATGCTCTTCTTGGCATGTCTTTTGCAGCCTCACTGTCCATGGAGCTCTAGGCTCTGTGGCTCTCTGAACCCTTATGCTGACCCAAAACGTAATGGGTGGTCCAGATGTGAAAGGTGAGGAGAGAGCAATGCTGGGGCAATGCTACGCTCCCCTTGTCGTGCCTTTTGCAGTATCAGTGTCCCTGGAGATCCAGGCTTTGTGGCTCTTTGAACCTGAAACCAAACCTAAAAGCAGCTTTAGACTGAGGTGCAGGGCGCTGTGGGTGGCACAGGTGAGAACAGTGTGGAAATAGCAAGGTTGGGGTATGCAGCCCCCATGTCCCTGGAGCTCTAGGATTTGTTTCTCTGAACCCTATCCATCATTGCAGCATTGAACCCATTGCATCATTGCGGCACACCAACCAGGTGGGTTTACGGTTTTTATGTATAAATGGTTTTAATTAAAAATTGGTTTACATTGTTTTTATATATTTTGTTCCTCTAATTTGTTGTCTTTTTATTACTAATCCCTTTCAGTGCTCCATCAGCTTTCCTGAGAACAGAGCTTTCCATTTTCTGCTCCTTCATGGTCTTACAGAGGAAATTTTATTAAATGTATTCTTCTTTCTCCATAGCATCCTGAAGTACTAGTAGCTTAGCACGAATAGCTGATGTGGTTGTTGCATAGGCCACAAGGGCTGAAAAAAGAAAGATTTTTGTTAAGAAACTAATGTTGCTAACATGCAACTAGCCACGAGGAGAATGAAAAAGTTAAGGAAGAACTAAAGAAAAATTTCAAGGACTGAGATAATGTCAGACGAAGGCCACCCATACAGCATTTAAAAGCAATTAAAAAAAAAATAAAATCAAGAGATAACTGACCAGGAACAAGTGATGGACTTGAGTGGAATGCTGGGTGATGCATGTGTGATTGAGGGTTAATTTCTGGTTTAGTGGTCACTTTCCAGATCCACCCAGCTCAAGTTGTAAGCTGAGAACTAATGAAAGACAAATCAGAAACCTTCCCTTGGAAGAGTGCATTAATTAGCAGGATCTTAGGGTCAGACCCTGTTGTTGTGGTCAGTGTAATTAAATCCATGACAATAGTATCTGACTAAGTACTTTCTGATACATAATAAGAATCATAACAAATGTTCATACTATTGTGACAATTATGTTTGCACATCTGCAATCTGAAACCTGCTTATAACCAGCTTGAGGATACAACATGAATCGAAAGTAGGAAAGAAGAGAGAGGCGATGCAGCAGGGTAGTACTGGCCAGGTTTACAGGAGAGCTGAGGCTGGCTAAGCTCAGACTTCAGTGCTTTGTGATTATTGAAGACTGTAACCAACAGGTGATTCCATACGATGGATTTGCAAATGAAAACATGTTAAGGAACTATCTTTGCATACTGACTTGAATGGAAACCACCATCATATCACCTTTACAAAATATGTGCACTACAATAGGTAATTGAAATGAAAATCTCATCTCTTTTTCATATGGATATATCTATTCAGATTTTTTCAGAAACTAATCGGTGCCGGGCTGGACTGATTCAAATATTTTTGTTCTAGAAAGATGCTTTCATCAGATCTTCTCTTACGTATTTCTGATATGAAGAAATATTTCACCAGGATCTCAGTAGCTATGTTCTATCTTAGCCACTGGATGGTCAGGAAGTACATTTTTCCAAGCAGTGATTTGAATTTGAGTCAGTTCATCCATGGAGGATGGCTAAAGAGCCCAGAACAGTCTTAGCCAAGTATGTTGCTGAGCATCCAGGATCACCTGTAAAAGCAGCTTACCTGAGTAACAACAGCAATTTGCAAGTCAATGCCTGGCTGGTCAGCACACAGGCCTTGCTCACATCCGGCTTCTGCTTGGCAGCATCCATTTATCTCAGGCTGTCCTGAAAAAAGCACAGAAATGCAGCTAAACCTTGCTGGCACAAGAGGAACTTCCACTTCTATTCTCACTTCGAGTCTTGCACTAAGTCACCTGTGTGTAAATTACACCCTTTCATAATACACCCCAAAAACTACTTCAGACTTAGACATTATAATTTAGGGTTTATATGAGCTCTCTCCCTTCCTGAAGAAAAGATCACTGCACATTTCTTTTTTTCTCAGCTGATGGGAGTGTTAAGTTTTTTTTTTTTACAATTCAAGCATGCAACTATCTGAATGAGTCCCAATAATACCTTATTAATTGAAACAGTCTGAGATCTCAACAAGATTAGATGAAAAATGAGAGAGATTAAGGAAAATAAAACCTGTTTCCCCATCTTACTCCTCAAAAATAATTTATACCTTGAACATGGAAAAAAAAAAGGCACATAATTTTTAACACAAATGTCTGCTGAAATGTAAGTATTCTGACTACTTGCTTACTTTTACTTGCTTTATTAGATTTTTTTATTATAAGCATATATAAACAGGTTCAGATAAATAAATAGATCTTTGTCTATGACAGACAGTAACAGGAAATGAGTTTGTTTTCACTAAGACTCATTGCTGCAATCCCACTTGTATTTTAGC